AGGAACTTTAGCAAGCTGTCCGAGTTAAAGTAACTCAGAAGACAGGGATCGAGAAGAGCAGTCCTGAGCTGGTCGCTAGGTGGTTGAGTTGGTCGCTAGCTGGTTGAGTTGGTCGCTAGCTGGCTGAGTTGGTCGCTAGCTGGTTGAGATGGTCGCTAACTGGTTGAGTTGGTCGCTAGCTGGTTGAGTTGGTCGCTAACCGGTTGAGTTGGTCGCTAGCTGGTTGAGATGGTCGCTAACTGGTTGAGTTGGTCGCTAGCTGGTTGAGTTAGTCGCTAGCTGGTTGAGTTGATCGCTAGCTGGTTGAGTTAGTCGCTGGCTGGTTGAGCTGGTCGCTAACTGGTTGAGTTAGTCGCTGGCTGGTTGAGCTGGTCGCTAACTGGTTGAGTTGGTCGCTAGCTGGTTGAGTTCACCATAGAGTATGTCTTTCATTGCTGGTAGTTTGTTTCACTAATGACAAATGCAGAAGATTCGAAAGCAGGTGTACTCTGATGATCCTGGGGAATTGGATTGAACGTCTAGCTTTCTCCGTCAAAATCGATGGAGGAACTTTAGCAAGCTGTCCGAGTTAAAGTAACTCAGAAGACAGGGATCGAGAAGAGCAGTCCTAAGCTGGTCGCTAGCTGGTTGAGTTGGTCGCTAGCTGGTTGAGTTGGTCGCTAGCTGGTTGAGTTGGTCGCTAGCTGGTTGAGTTGGTCGCTAACTGGTTGAGTTGGTCGCTAACTGGTTGAGTTGGTCGCTAACCGGTTGAGTTGGTCGCTAGCTGGTTGAGTTGGTCGCTAACTGGTTGAGTTGGTCGCTAGCTGGTTGAGTTAGTCGCTAGCTGGTTGAGTTGATCGCTAGCTGGTTGAGTTAGTCGCTGGCTGGTTGAGCTGGTCGCTAACTGGTTGAGTTAGTCGCTGGCTGGTTGAGCTGGTCGCTAACTGGTTGAGTTGGTCGCTAGCTGGTTGAGTTAGTCGCTGGCTGGTTGAGCTGGTCGCTAACTGGTTGAGTTAGTCGCTAGCTGGTTGAGTTAGTCGCTAGCTGGTTGAGTTGGTCGCTAGCTGGTTGAGTTGGTCGCTAGCTGGTTGAGTTAGTGCTGGCTGGTTGAGCTGGTCGCTAGCTGGCTGAGCTGGTCGCTAGCTGGCTGAGCTGAAATATGCACAATCATGTGATCTGTGATCTAGTACAGTAAAAAGTAATTATTTAAAAGATAGAATAGGCCTCCTATCCAGCACTTATATCTTTCTATCATCCATTGATTCATTCAGTCAAAGTCCACATTGTGAGAGCATACGTCTTCCCTGTAGGATGTGAGTCGGGCACAAGCAAAATAGAAAGAATCTCAGAATACCTTGGACAAATAAGAAAAATGCTGACTTCCTAAAAGTTCTGAATGTCATGGAAGATTGACTAGTAAACAGCATCCTGTCTCAGAAACTGAAATATCTTCACCAGATCCAGCAGCGCTGCGGATTGGAAAGGACAGCAGGAGAAAGCGTGGTACCAGGAAACTTAGGACAGAGAGACTGACCAACACAAAGATGTGCACAGGATATAAGTGGGGCTTGAAAGCATATTTCAGGCAGACCGTAATGCGAGCGACGCTCTGCAAAGCACCTGCTACCTGATTCATTAGAATTTTTCAAGTTTAATTCTAAAACTCGTCTTTTGTGAATCTGACATTTACAAAACACGAATTTAAATTCTATGCCCACATGAGTTTTTATGCGTCTTTGAACGGTAATTGTAACTGTTTTAGTCATCACCGCATTTGTGTTCAGTATCAAAGTGCTGATTTTACGTTTAGTTCAATGTAATTGCAATATGGTTGTCACATTATCTTGAGAGGTCACGTTTATGGGTGATACATTTAAGTGAGTAAAATCGCCAAAGAATTGGATTTATTTTCTAAAACGCAACATTGCGTTTATGTGCTGCAAGTAAACTGGGCTACAATAATAGGAAACACAATCAAGAGTATTTATGTCGCGTCTGGATATTTATTCTCTGTCTGATTATCTTGTATTTAAACACTCAGGCTCGGTGCTGAAGCCACTGGAGTTCAAATCTTTTGCCTGCAACGAGGTTCCATCCAACAGCAGCCAGGCTTGCAGCTGCCAAGATTGTTTGCCCGCCTGTGACCCAGTGCCACCACCCAGACCTCCGGCCACCCGCTGCCAGATCGGTCTCATTGACTGCTATGACCTGGGCTTTACTGTTGCATACGCAGTATTTGTGTTGCTATTTGGTGCCTATCTAGTCCTTGCCCTGAAGTACCAACGAGACAAACAACCGGGCGACAACTTTGATCTGTCCAGCAAGAAAAACGGTGAGCAAATATTCTTATGCCCCACCCCCTTCCCCCCCCCCCTCACTTCCTAATAAAGTGTGTGTCTTGCTGAACTACTGATGACAAACTAAAGCGCGTGCAAGATAGAACAAGGAGGAGAAGGAACTGGGGGAGAAAGTAACAGAAGATAACATGACAATAAAGATTGAACAGTCTCCAGTGTACATCCTATAATTTACAATTTCATATTTATCCACCTTTAAAGATAGAACTTTATAACCCATAATTTATATTTTAGCACTTGTCCACACCTAGAGATACAATTTTGGACACCCCCATAGTTTATAAATACTAGTCCGCATATAAAGATAAAACTATCTATTTTCCCATAATTTATAACTTCATACTCAATATTCTCTAGAGACAGTACTCTCTACACCTCAAAATTTCCAGCTGTTTATGTGACCATCCCTATACTTAATTCTCCCTACCATACAATATAACATGGTCAAAGACCAGGCAGTTAGAAAGTCAAACTTACACTCTGCAAAAGTGGATGTACACACACACACAAAAAACGGTTCGTGTTTTCATGCAAGCTGAAAGTGTTAAATACAGAGGTTTCGGACAGGCTTTGAATTAAAAGAAGTTGGAAAGACATTTAAACACCAAGGTACCTTTATTTCACTGTAGACACAAAGGTGTAGTAGTAGATTTTTACCGCACCAGGACATTATACAAACGATAAACACCCGATGACCCAAAGTGCCACCATGTGGATGAGGTTCACCGTTCAGAGGTTCCAGGAACCGTGTTAAGCCATTATACCATATTATTGGTCGCGCTATATTGCGGCCCCTGGCAAGAGCCAGAGTAGGGCTTCAAAAAACAAGAAATTGCATCTCACAAGGAGATGACTGGGTTAATATTACACAAAAGTGCATTTACTTTCACTGAAGAGACAAAAGTGCATTCACTTTCATTGAAGACACAAAAGTGCATTTACTTTCATTGTAGACACAAAAGTGCATTTACTTTCATTGTAGACACAAAAGTGCATTTACTTTCACTGAAGACACAAAAGTGCATTTACTTTCACTGAAGACACAAAAGTGCATTTACTTTCACTGAAGACACAAAAGTGCATTTACTTTCACTGAAGACACAAAAGTGCATTTACTTTCACTGAAGATACAAAAGTGCATTTACTTTGATTGTAGACACAAAAGTGCATTTCCTTTCATTGTAGATACAAAAGTTCTTTTAATTATTAGTAAATAAACATTTGTGTCCACGGAGAAACGAAATGAACAATATTTCATTAACTGACTGTAGACACAAAGGCAATAGTGAAGAAGTTATCGCTGAAAGTTTGACTATAAAAGAGAAGTTGATATCTTATAATAAATTGAGACATCTAGCATGTCGGAGACCAGGGAAACAAACTTGTAAACAATGGATTGTGTTACATGACAGGAAGATTTTGGTGAGTGTGACAAGAAATAAATAAAAGGTCATTGTAATGATAAAAGATGCAATAGGAGGTCATACTGTATGTAGCCTTGGGGATTTATGGATGGCATAATCCAGGTAAAGTTGTGAAGGTAATGACTGTAGACAAAATAATATCATGTGCAATGGCGTGTAATAGACGACTGTGAAGAACAAAACAAAAGTTATACTTCCTCGCTGTGGTGTGTGTAGTGCTAACGTCAAATGCAGCTGAACTAATCGGCACTTGGTCGGTGCTGCAGTCAGTAGCCGACCGACCGCTTTTACTTCCCAAGACGTTAAAAACAAATGACACCCGGGGTATTCGCATACATGATTCCTAGATCTGGGGTTGAGCGCTCTGACCAGCATGCTCAGTTAGTTTGAGCAGGCTGGGCTAGAGATAGCGGTGAGACTAGGGGACAGTAGAGGGGCGAGTTCAACACTAGTTTCTCGACTTGTTGACGAGACTGGGCTAGAGATAGCGGTGAGACTAGGGGATAGTAGAGGGGCGAGTTCAACACTAGTTTCTCGACTTGTTGACGAGGCTGGGCTAGAGATAGCGGTGAGACTAGGGGATAGTAGAGGGGCGAGTTCAACACTAGTTTCTCGACTTGTTGACGAGGCTGGGCTAGAGATAGCGGTGAGACTAGGGAATAGTAGAGGGGCGAGTTCAACACTAGTTTCTCGACTTGTTGACGAGACTGGGCTAGAGATAGCGGTGAGACTAGGGGATAGTAGAGGGTCGAGTTCAACACTAGTCCCTCGACTTGTTGACGAGACTGGGCTAGAGATAGCGGTGAGACTAGGGGACAGTAGAGGGGCGAGTTCAGCACTAGACTCTCGACTTGTTGACCAAATAAATAAATGAAGATGAGTGGCTGGCCGAACAGTTAGGCACACAGGACTGTCACTTGGAAACCCTAGGTTTGAATGTCTGGTAATGTTGTGGATTTTTTTCTGCCAGGGGCAAAAATGAAATCTCTGCCTGGTCAGCCTAGGCGACAGCACTAGCCCCATAAATCATTAGCCGCAGAAGGTGTTAAATATAGTCAGCAATGACCGGGGTCTGGTTTTCAGAATGAATGAATGAATGAATGAATGAATGAATGAATGAATGAATGAATGAATGAATGAATGAATGAATGAATGAATGAATGAATGAATGAATGAATGAATGAATGAATCTGTGGGTGACATTTAAACATTTAATTCAAACTGTCTGTCCTTAAACAAGGCCCTAGCGGCAAGATGCAGAACGGACATGACGGGACATTGAAACATCCGCGCAGACGATGTCAAAGTGTTGGGTTACACCTGGAGGTCTTCCTGGAGAGGATGTTCTTCTGCTGGGGTCACCTGTGTGCCAGACATCCGTACCTGGTTGTGGTAAGTTCTGCTAGGGCCATCTGTGTGCCAGACATCCGTACCTGGTTGTGGTAAATTCTGCTGGGGTCACCTGTGTGCCAGACATCCCTACCTGGTTGTGGTAAGTTCTGCTGGGGCCACATGTGTGCCAGACATCCCTACCTGGTTGTGGTAAGTTCTGCTGCGGTCACCTGTGTGCCAGAAATCCTACCTGGTTGTGGTAACTGCTGCTGGGGTCATATGTGTGCCAGACATCCTTACCTGGTTGTGGTAAGTTCTGCCAGGGTCACCTGTGTGCCAGACATCCTTACCTGGTTGTGGTAAGTTCTGCCAGGGTCACCTGTGTGCCAGACATCCTTACCTGGTTGTGGTAAGTTCTGCCAGGGTCACCTGTGTGCCAGACATCCTTACCTGGTTGTAAGTTTTGCCGAGGCCACCTGTGTGCCAGACATCCTTACGTGTTTCTAAATTCGGAGATGTTTGTTTGTTTGAAACTTTCTGTTCCGACAATAAATACAAGGGGAAAAGGCAATCTGACGTCTAGACAACAATTTAAGATAAAAACAATAGGAAGAAATTAAATCTATATGCAACAGATTAATGAATTCTACGTAACTGTGTACTGGCTTTGTTTTTAATGGATCAACGTTGCATGTATGAAGCAATACAAGCGTCCAATCTCCGGTCAAAATAATCCAACAAGTGGGTTCTGAGGTCCATTGGGTGGCGGAAGAAGGGGTGGGTGTTCGGATAGGGGACAGAACACTCCTACCTAAAAGCATGTCGTAACAGTCGTCTAATTAAGGGTGTTTCCTTCTATGTTGGAGTTTATCTGCATGAGAGGCAAGGAACCAACAGCCTGCATACAAATAAAGAATTATAGTAAGTGGGAGTATACCGGCATTCCGTGTGAAATGCTTTCGACCTTACACTTTCGTTTAGAAATTTGCCTAATGATGTCACCAGTTGTTTCCTTCCCTGTCATCTGTTTCCCAAAATTATGATCAAAATGTTGAATAGTTATTTGTGACAATGGCCGAGGAAATGTTGAATAGTTATTTGTGACAATGGCCGAGGAAATGTTGAATAGTTATTTGTGACAATGGCCGAGGAAATGTTGAATAGTTATTCGTGACAATGGCCGAGGAAATGTTGAATAGTTATTTGTGACAATGGCCGAGGAAATGTTGAATAGTTATTTGTGACAATGGCCGAGGAAATGTTGAATAGTTATTTGTGACAATGGCCGAGGAAATGTTGAAAATGTGGTTTAATTCAATAAAGATTATGGTCGAGCCCTGGATGAGCCACCCTGTTTTGACAACACCGATCTTTATTCCCAGTGTTCAGCGGTTTATATGAGGCTAGTTTCAGCCAGCCCACCTTGTCTTTTAATGCCCACAACAGCTGCACACCCTGGTACCGAAATAAATACAGCTTGACCAGCAGTGGAATCTTGAGTGACGTTAACCCAGTCATCATCATTTTGCATGGGGACAGACCTAAGCGGTTATAGTTCGCTTTCCCTTACGATTTCAAGCTATGTATCTCTTTGTCTTTCCCGGACTCTTTCCCTTCAGGTGTGTAAGCTGTTAATACATTGCTATTAGTTTTCTTTCTCCTGGAAACTGCCGTGTTCTAGCGGCAAGATGCTCGGCTGTAAGTCGGAAAGTCGTGGGTTCGGTTCCTGTGGGGGGTCGGATTTTTTTTTTTCAAAAATATATTGGCTCTCTCAGGTCTACCCAGGCTTGAAAGTAAAGGCAGGATACACACAGAGATTGTGAAAACACCTAACGATGACAGGACACACACACAGATTGTGAAAACACCTAGCGACGACAGGACACACACAGAGATTGTGAAAACACCTAGCGACGACAGGATACACATAGAGATTGTGAAAGCACCTAACGACGACAGGACACACACAGAGATTGTGAGAAAGTAAAGGCGCCCGGAAGTATGATGACCACACCACCCACCAAGTGCCGTATAGATATATAGATCTAGCCCTATATACCCAGTATGCCTGAAGGGTGGGAAGAACGGTCCTTGACTTTCTTTCTCCTAGCGCGTCAAGAAAATATTGAATGTCTACCTGGAACTTTTCCAATCAATTTACGGCTGTCTTTCTTCTCGTGGTCTGCATCGTTTGTTGTTTGCTCTATCATCCCATGATATTGTTGTCATTCTAATCGTGGAACTGCATCGTTTGTTGTTTGCTCTATCATCCCATGATATTCTTTTAATTCTTTTCTGAAACCACATCTCCGCAGCCAGCTTGTGTGTGTCAGCTCCTGTGTTTATGGTTCATGTTAAACATGCGCATAAAACAGCAGTGTGTGTGTGTGTGTGTGTGCGCGCGCGTGTGTGTGTGTGCGATTTCTACTTCTATCCGCGATTTCTATTTCTACTTTGCGATTTCTACTTCTACTTTGCGATTTTTACTTCTACTCTCTTATTTCTACTTCTACTACTCGATTTCTACTTCTACTTCGCGATTTCTACTTCTGTTCCGCGAATTCTACTTTCATTCCGCGACTTCTACTTCTATTTTATGACTTCTACTCTGTTCCGCGACTTCAACTTCAGTCCCGCGACTTCTACTTCTGTTCCGCGATTTCTACTTACATTCTGCGATTTCTAATTCCCTTCCGCGATTTCTACTATTCTGTGATATCTACTTCCCTTCCGCGATTACTCGTCTGTGTGCGTTTTGCGCGCGCGCGTGTGTGTATGTGTGTGGCACTTTAACATTTTATTTCACTGAATCTCTCTCCCCTCAATCGTGTGGTTGCACGATTGTGCATTTAACAACATCAACAATTATTTCAGCTGGCCACTCTCTTGACCGCAGGAGCCCTCTGTGCTGGACTGTCCATGTTCCAGGTGACCACGGATCCAGTCCAGTTGTGGTCAGCCCATGACAGTCGGGCCAGGACGGAAAAAGATTACTTCGACTCTCACTTTGTGTAAGTTTCATCTCTGTCACTTGTTGACATACTTTGACTCTCAGTTTGTGTAGATTTCATCTCTGTCACTTGTTGATTTACTTCGACTCTCACTTTGTGTAGATTTCATCTCTGTCACTTGTTGATTTACTTCGACTCTCACTTTGTGTAGATTTCATCTCTGTCACTTGTTGATATACTTTCACTCTCACTTTGTGTGAGATTGTGAAAACACCTAGCGATTACAGGACACACACGGAGATTGTGAAAACACCTAGCGACGACAGGACACACACAGAGATTGTGAAAACACCTAGCGACGACAGGATACACACAGAGATTGTGAAAACACCTAGCGACGACAGGATACACATAGAGATTGTGAAAGCACCTAACGACGACAGGACACACACAGAGATTGTGAAAACACCTAGCGATGGCAGGACACAGAGATTATGAAAACACCTAGAGACGACAGTACACGCATGGAGATATAGGAAACACGCACTGACGACACACTGGCTGTCTAAGTGGCATTTATCGTTCCTACCACGAGATGCGGAGGTCGTGTGCCGGCGACAGTTTGACATTCCAATGTGACCACTGCAGCTTTCACTGTTAATATTGTTTGTTGCGCCTTGGCAGGCTCTGTTAGTTTCTGTTGCTTGTTGCTTCACAATCTATATGGGCCTCAAACAATGCCCTTTTTAAAACAAATACAATTTTCTTTTAATATGTTTTAAATGCAGTTCCTTATATATATTTTGCCCCCCCCCCCCTTTTTTTCCCCTCAGACATTCACTATCAACTACGATACTATCAATGACAGCAAACATGTTTGTTAAATATCCAGTGTAGTTATTAGATTACTCTCCTGTCAGTCATGGCAAACTACTGGACGTAAATCTGCCTAGAGAAACCACACAACAGCCAGGGACTGCTGGGGTTGGTTCTGCAACGTCCTGTAAAGGATACGCAACTAACCTTTAACCTCCTGTCAGTCAAAGGGTCTGGCCCACATTTATCGTGAAGATGAACAAATTAAAACACAAAAATCTGTATCAAATCATTTTTCAAGGCAAAATGTTGTTAGTTTTCCCCTTCTGTTGAAGTGAAGCAATGCGGCAACTATTCATGTGTCTAAGGGAAGCAGATTCTGCAGGAGAAATACAATAGTCAAAGATTCAAAGAGAGCAACTCTCTCTCCAGAACACGTCTGAACTTAGCATCATGTGTATAGAATGCGATATGATTTTTCAGCATATGTTTTAATGACATAATCAATAATGTTGTATTTATGAAACGAATACAGTTTTTTTTTTTTTTTTTACGTTGTCATTCAGAGCTATTTAGAAGATTGTTTAATACAATATATGTTATTGTGCAAGGGCATTCATTATTATTTCTTTTAATAAAAATTGAACAGAAACATATTTCCATTATCCATATATTCACAAGAAGTATATATTTTAAAGTTGTATGAGACTGGCTGGTGTCAACTGAAACAGTGGGGGCCTCGGGGCTTTATATAGCTTGAGACCTGATAAAGTCTGAATCCGGCCTTGGCCTTGTGGCAGACCTACAGACTTTCAGAGTTGCCAGTTTTAAAAAGAAGGCCAATTACAGTGATGAACAGAGGAGCGTGATGTCTGCAGCAGTCAACCCCAAGAGCCGGAAATGCTGAAGAAACAGATGGCAATGGACCTAGACTGTCATGAAACAGACGCAGCTGAAAAAGTTGATGTAAGCCTGCTAAAGATAGAGCGGGTTATATGACATGACAGAAAGGCACGGGGCTGTCGAGGTTAGACACTTCTCGTTTCTTGCTTATGTCCTTGAGAATGACATGTGAATCACGTGGTTACACAATTGTAATGCTGGCTTACGTTGACAATGACATGTTTCAGTTTGAATCATTTCCAGACCTTTCTACCGAACCCAACAAATTATTATCTCTCGACCTGACAACAACACCCTCATCAGGTATAGGAATCACAACTACACTAACTTGTTCGACAAAGGTTTTCTTCACACGGTAATTAGTTTATTTCTCTATTTTATTCCGTTTTTTTTTTTTTTTTTAATCAGTTGTAAACATTTCTATTTTTTCGATAGCTTCGTATTTTCACTTGCTGTGTCCTCAGAAATTGCACAGCATTTACTCGTTTGCAGAAATTACAAAGGCAAATTTAGTACTGGCCAAGTTTATGCTGCCAGTGACAAACTGGGATCCTTATTAAAGAAACATGAAAAGTAAAATAAGGACAACCAAGGTGAGATCTCTTAGAAGAGCTGCTGTTGTAACAAGCAGATATAGAATTAAACTGAAATCAAATATACAGTTAATCTAAGAGCAACAAATTAGATGGTTTGGCCATTTGACGAGAGTGCCCTGGTACCAACTGTCTGCCACAGAGAAGAGATTGAAGAACGGGAAGTCCCCGTAGAGAGAACGATGCAATCAAGAACAGCCTTAAAACAGCAGGGGTGGAAGACCGGCTTATAAATTACAGATTATAAGAGCACACAGTTGATCAATACCCGCTCCATCCCATTCAAATTTACAATAACAAAAATAATTTTTTTAAAGCCCGACCCCGTTCAACGTACTGTTAGACAGCCGAAGCCTCCAGCAGTCTCCGGCTATATTTGTGGTCTGTTTTTTTGGCGCCACTTTCGTGCCTAAACTTTTGGTATTTGTGCCAGGTATAGTTGTACAATTTTGAATATTTCACTTTGCCAAATGTACTGAAAACAGATTTTGGGTTTGCAAACATCCGAAATTGTGAAAAAAATGTTGCGTGTGACCATAGTGGTCCTATAGTTGTCTTCCTGTAATAAGACCGGTTTATGAATGGCATGGTGGTGAAGTACATGGAGGAAGAGAAGGAGAAGAAGAAAAAGAAGAAGAAGAAGAAGAAGAAGAAGAAGAAGAAGAAGAAGAAGAAGAAGAAGAAGAAGAAGAAGAAGAAGAAGAAGAAGAAGAAGAAGAAGAAGAAGAAGAAGAAGAAGAAGAAGTAGAAGGAGAAGGAGAAGAAGGAGAGAAGAAGGAGGAGGAGGAGAAAGAGAATGAGAAGAAGGAGGAGATGGAGGAGGAGGGGAAGCAGGAGGAGGAGGACGAGAAAAATAAGAAGAAGAAGAAGAAGAAGAAGAAGAAGAAGAAGAAGAAGAAGAAGAAGAAGAAGAAGAAGAAGAAGAAGAAGAAGAAGAAGAAGAAGAAGAAGAAGAAGAAGAAGAAAGAAGAAGAAGAAGAAGCAGAAGCAGAAGAAGAAGAAGAAGAAGAAGAAGAAGAAAGAAGAAGAAGAAGAAGAAGAGAAGAAAGAAAAAGAAGAAGAAGAAGAAGAAGAAGAAGAAGGGGGAGGAGAAGAAGAAGAAGAAGAAGAAGAAGAAGAAGAAGAAGAAGAAGAAGAAGAAGAAGAAGAAGAAGAAGAAGAAGAAGAAGAAGAAGAAGAAGAAGAAGAAGAAGAAGAAGAAGAAGAAGAAGAAGAAGAAGAAGAAGAAGAAGAAGAAGAAGGAGGAGGAGAAGGAGGGGAGGGGGAGGAGGAGGAGGAAGAGGAGAAAGAGGAGTAAGAAGACCACAGAGAAATTACTTTTGGAAAAGAAGTATCCAGACATTATGACAGGATAGGAGCAATATTATTGATTCATTACACAGAGAGACAGAGATCAACAGGTTCAAACAAATACTGAGTCTGGAACTTACACAACTTTTGCTGTAAGTCTACAAGTCTAGTGAAAAGTGTTAGAGAACACGGGATCATCTTGGAGCAGATAAACAGAGAGCGTAAACAACAGTCTGTTTCACAGGGAGCGCAAGGACCTGAAGAAGACGAACACTGATAAACCTGGCATTCTGTTATTCAACCCATACCCGACTTACACTGAAGGGTATTCGGGATGTTAGTGTAGCTACCAAGCGTTGTTGATCAAATATCTGGGATTTGTTGTGTTGGATTACCAACCAAAGTATGGCTCTTTAAATCGCAGGAATTGTCTGTCCTTTAGGCAACTGCCCAGAATTGGAGGAGCCGGAGCGTAGGGGATGGGGCGGGTGGCGGAAGGAGAAAGACAGACAAATTGTCATTCTTTTGCCTGCTGCACATTCAGTTATATTATGTGCGTGGTATTTCTTTACACAGCTTCTGGACCTGCAAAACGCCATCACAGAAATCAGTGTCCTGCACGACCATAAGAACATCACGTTACAGGACATCTGCTTCGCTCCCCTGAAACCTTCCAACAACAACTGCACTATCCAGAGTGTCCTTAACTACTACCAGAACTCGCACCAGATGATTGACATGGAAGCCATGGACCAGTTTGGCTGGCTGGTGGAGGCCAACTACTTGGATCACTTTGACTACTGCGTTTTGTGAGTTTGTTGTTTGTCCCTGTCTGGTTAGATCCCAGGAACCCTTCAGAAAGTTATAGCAGATGGAAACCCATAGGCCTGACCACTCTGAAATCTGTAAGAGAGTGATGAAGGAAGACAGGGAGATTTACACGTAGCCGCGAAAACGTTCACCAGTTTTAAAAAAATGAAAAGTTCATGTGCCAGTCATTCAACTCTCGCTACGATCACTTAGAGTCTTAGATCGTAGTTAGAAGTTAAACACAGCTGAGGTGACCATCACTAAACAGAGCTGAGTTGGCCATCACTAAACAGAGCTGAGGTGGCCATCACTAAACAGAGCTGAGGTGACCATAACTAAACAGAGCTGAGGTGACCATCACTGAACAGAGCTGAGTTGGCCATCACTAAACAGAGCTGAGTTGGCCATCACTAAACCGAGCTGAGTTGGCCATCACTAAACAGAGCTGAGTTGGCCATCACTAAACAGAGCTGAGGTGACCATCACTAAACAGAGCTGAGTTGGCCATCACTAAACAGAGCTGAGGTGGCCATCACTAAACAGAGCTGAGTTGGCCATCACTAAACAGAACTGAGGTCGCCATCACTAAACAGAGCTGAGTTGGCCATCACTAAACAGAGCTGAGTTGGCCATCACTAAACAGAGCTGAGTTGGCCATCACTAAATAGAGCTGAGTTGGCCATCACTAAACAGAGCTGAGGTGACCATCACTAAACAGAGCTGAGGTGAACATCACTAAACAGAGCTGAGGTGACCATCACTAAACAGAGCTGAGTTGGCCATCACTAAACAGAGCTGAGGTGACCATCACTAAACAGAGCTGAGTTGGCCATCACTAAACACAGGTGAGGTGGCCATCACTAAACACAGCTGAGGTGACCATCACTAAACAGAGCTGAGGTGACCATCACTAAACAGAGCTGAGTTGGCCATCACTAAACAGAGCTGAGATGGCCATCACTAAACAGAGCTGAGTTGACCATCACTAAACAGAGCTGAGTTGGCCATCACTAAACAGAGCTGAGTTAGCCATCACTAAACAGAGTCGAGTTGACCATAACTAAACAGAGCTGAGTTGGCCATCACTAAACATAGAGTATCTTCACTTGGACTGTTGTTACGAAGTCACTTTTGGAATAAATATTGGTTTGTCATTGATGGCAATGATATGAAGCTGATTGATTTAGATCAGCTGAAAACCACATGTCGAGATATAAATTGTTAGACTCGTAGAAGTGTTATAAGGAAATACGAGACCTGTACTTAATCTGTTGTGGTAGCCAGTCTTTGACTGGAGCTTCTCTAGGTGGAAATTTTTTAATCTGTGGCAACTTATGAGGCCCCTTCTGGCGGATAGATTTCCCTTGAGACTACTGAATGAAATCGCTTTGTCCGGTATTGTGAAAGACGTTTTAAATTATCTACCGAGGCTTTTACACATAAGACAGACATTCGGAGAAACAGAGGGACATGTACATTGTATGTTTATACCACAACCGCCTGCTATTTCTTCACTAGGTCTCCCTACTCCATCAACGATACAACAGCTCTGCACACTCCCTGTCTGGGCACATATGGCGGACCAGTGTTTCCTTGGGTGGCGCTCGGTGGATTTGCAGGTACTTTCCATGTGTGTGTGTTTACATGTACCTTCCGTGTATGTTTGTTTGCATGTACTTTTCATGTGTGTGTGTTTGCATGTACTTTCCATGTGTGTGTTTGTGTACTTTCCATGTGTGTGTGTTTACATGTACTTTCCGTGTATGTGTGTTTGCATGTACTTTCCATGTGTGTGTGTTTACATGTACCTTCCGTGTATGTTTGTTTGCATGTACTTTCCATGTGTGTGTGTTTGCATGTACTTTCCATGTGTGTGTGTTTGCATGTACTTTCCATGTGTGTGTGTTTGCATGTACTTTCCATGTGTGTGTGTTTGCATGTACTTTCCATGTGTGTGTGTTTGCATTTACTTTCCATGTGTGTGTGTTTACATGTACTTTCCATGTGTGTGTGTTTACATGTACCTTCCTTGTATGTGTGTTTGCATGTACTTTCCATGTATGTGTGTTTGCATGTACTTTCCATGTATGTGTGTTTGCATGTACTTTCGAGGGCAGCAGAGAAATGGGTCTATAATAACCTAAAGAGCTGTTGTAGGCTAGGCTAGCTTTCAGCAGAGGATAAACTCTTCTAGCAATTTTTAATGCCACTGGAAATAGTTCTTGACAAGACATTGATGAGACATGGACAAGACATTGACAAGACACTGACAAGACATTGATCATACATGAACGTTAAGGAATCACTTATCACTGGTGCAGCCCATCCAAACCTGGAGAGTTTGCTTAAGACAGGCAGGGATATTTATATACTTTTACATAAGGGGCATTTTAGAAGCAATAGTCGTAGTGCATTTCTCCTCACAGAATGGTGCCAGTAAGCTCAAGCCACACTGTGAGTCGTCCGGTATTGTGGACTTTAAATTCTCGATTTCGAATTTGAAAAAAAAAGGAGCCGAACTCTTTACATGTTCGATAATTAGATATTGCCTGATGTAGAGAATGTTTCTTGCTGAAACCTGTTAATAGCCCTCCATGTGTGGGCACTGTTTATTTTATCGTTAATTAATTTCTTAAAATGGTTTTTCTTCATTTTACGAACTACATATGGTTCTTCATTTATTGGTAATCGATATGCATCTAAAACTCAAGTTCTGCAATAAGACAAGTCCAGAAGTGGACGAACATCCTTATCTTTCCCCCGGACTTAAATTTGATGAATGCCAAGAAGCCGAGTGGCAGACCAAGGATATCTCTAGTTATCAAACGATGGCCTTGGACAGGCAAACCTGCTACCCATTTAGCTATATCGGCTCTCTGCTCCTAGCTAACTATATTGCTAAATGTTGCCAGATGACTTTCTACGTGTCTGGTTATGCAATGAAACAAATAGTGCCCCGGCCTATTCTCTTTCTCCAGGTAAAGATTACAGGACATCTCGAGCCTTTGTCATTACTCTGCTGGTCAACAACTACCTGGACAGCCCATTGAATGAGCCAGCCAGAGCATGGGAGTCCAAGTTTGTGGATTTCATGAAAGACTACGTCGAAAGTCATCCTAACATCACGATAGCATTCTCCTCTGAGGTATGCCAATGTGTTTCACTTGGTGTGCCATACTTTACGTTGATAATTCTGACAGTGATGTGAGTGATGAATTGCTAATAAAGGTAAGTCTGTCGTCGTCATCATCATGTGCCATGCTGATAAGCACCAGCTGCCACTTTTCAGCATTTTACTCGATCAGATCAGCGGGGATAAGGCCTGAGCTCCTGTCTCGCCCCGTCCATTTGCCAGAAAGATCCAGGGATTTTATCTGTTTGCTTTCTCCTCGTTCTTTTTCCATCAGTACCGCCCGTTGTTTACCGAGTTTCCAAGTCCATTCCTTTTCAAACATGCCCGTGTCAACTATTCATCATCATCATCATCATCATCATCATCTACAGCAGCACCTTTACAGAACTTTGCTTTCTCCACGGCACGCCTAAAAGTCGGTATTTCTGTAACCAATGCTCCAGCCCTATGTACTTTGATAACCAGTGCGTCTTCAGTGTAATAAATCCACGCTCGTGGAGGTCCACCTCGTTTTCCCCGATACTGCCCTCTCTATCACCCTTCTCTTTAGGTCGCCATAACGCTAAACTCGGCCTAAATATCTCCAGTTTCTGGATATTCAGTACATTGTGAAGCTGGTCTACAACTTCATGCAAAGGATATTAACTAACCATAGACTCTGTGACGCACGCATGATCACTATGTCTTGTATGTGAGCTTGTGTGATCACTGCATCTTGTATGTGAGCTTGTGTGATCACTGCGTCTTGTATGTGAGCTTGTGTGATCACTGCGTCTTGTATGTGAGCTTGTGTGATCACTGCGTCTTGTATGTGAGCTTGTGTGATCACTGCGTCTTGTATGTGAGCTTGTGTGATCACTGCGTCTTGCATGTGAGCTTGTGTGATCACTGCGTCTTGTATGTGAGCTTGTGTGATCACTGCGTCTTGTATGTGAGCTTGTGTGATCACTGCGTCTTGTATGTGTGCTTGTGTGATCACTGCGTCTTGTATATGAGCTTGCAAATGTGGACTTAGTAAATCTTATATGTCTGGTTTTTATGATGGCCTTGTACTGAGTTATGTTCTTTGATGCAGTGGTTGTATTTGTGATCTTTAAAACATATGTGGATGCGGGCAGCTGGTCTAGGAGCGAAGGATTGACAGGCAGGTTGATAGAGCACACTGTTCTTCTGATTCGACAGCTTATTCAGCATGCCATGTTCCAAACATATTGGTGTTACCTTTCCTTTTGGGGTAAACAAGGCAGACAGAGTAAAGAATCATGCTGCGTAGGCAACAGATGATCTCTACAATACTGCCTAAGCGTTGTGCTACGGAGAAGAGAAATCCCATCCCTAGCATTAATCTGCTGAGATTCTCATGCCTGACTATCACAGAATATAACATTGTCGTCTGGACAGGCAAACAGATCTCCGCAGCAAAACACGTAGGAATAGCTCCGGGAGGGGGGGGGGGGCATTACAGTAGTTAATTTTATTGTCTAGGCTGTTCAAATCGTTAAATAAATAAGGGGAAACAAAAGATTGATCTATTTCTTTTACAGAGTTAACTAAACAATTCGATTGAAATCAGTTATGTCTCTATTCTTTTGCCAGAGATCTATAGAAGATGAGATAGACCGTGAGAGTCAGAGCGACATCATCACCATCCTCTGCAGCTACCTCATCATGTTTGTTTACGTCACCATATCTCTGGGCCGGTACTCCAGCTTGTCCCGAGTTCTGGTAGGTAGCGTCTAAATGACGTCACTTGAGTGGGTTGTAAATCGTAGACAATGAAGAATACATTGAAATGATAGGTTTCATGTCATCATTTTATCGTATCATTATATGTGACATAATGCCCTCGGTTTAGTCCCCCATTTCAGTGTATCCTGTGAAACATGTTGGTTATCATGGTTGGATTCCACTCCGGCACCTCTAGCCTCTCATTACCTCTAGCCTCTCATCTCTAGCCTCTCATTACCTCTAGCCTCTCATTACATCTAGCCTCTCATTACCTCTAGCCTCTCATTACCTCTAGCCTCTCATTACCTCTATCCTCTCATCTCTAGCCTCTCATTACCTCTAGCCTCTCATCACCTCTAGCCTCTCATTACCTCTAGCCTCTCATCTCCAGACTCTCATTACCTCTAGCCTCTCATTACCTCTAGCCTCTCATTACCTCTAGCCTCTCATCACCTCTAGCCTCCTCTCAGCCTCTCATTCATCTAGCCTCTCATAGCCTCTCATCACCTCTACCTCTCATTACCTCTCTATCATTACCTCTAGCCTCTCATCACCTCTAGCCTCTCATCACCTCTAGCCTCTCATCACCTCTAGCCTCTCATTACCTCTAGCCTCTCATTACCTCTAGCCTCTCATCACCTCTAGCCTCTCATTACCTCTAGCCTCTCATTACCTCTAGCCTCTCATTACCTCTAGCCTCTCATTACCTCTAGCCTCTCATCACCTCTAGCCTCTCATCTCCTCTAGCCTCTCATTACCTCTAGCCTCTCATCACCTCTAGCCTCTCATCTCTAGCCTCTCATCACCTCTAGCCTCTAGCCTCTCATCACCTCTAGCCTCTCATTACCTCTAGCCTCTCATCACCTCTAGCCTCTCATTACCTCTAGCCTC